GCCATTTCTGAACTCTTTCTGCAAACCCTGATAAAATGATTTAACAGTGTGGCTTTAAAGTGATATTAGAGTCAGAGAGTCTATTTAAAATGCTGATTAAATCATGTACACTGGATGCTGCTCTTGTTCCCTGCAGAACCAGTTGGTCCCCTGAACACTGGCCCTAAGATCCGGTTTTAAAAAGGTGGCTCTTCTCCCTTGCAGGATCCTATGTAGACCCTGTGTCTACACACAGTCATTCTGCACCCCCTGCTTGATGGATAGCAGCTGGGAACTGCTCTAGTGATCTTGTACTGGACAGGAAGTTTAGGGAGAGTTGGAGCCAGAAGCTATACGTTTATAGTAACTTCAGCAGCTAAAAGAGTACAGCCATTATGAATCATCACAAAACTAAACACCCCAACTGAGCCTCAGGGAAGGGGGTAAAGGCAAAACCGTGTAGAGTCAAAGTTTTTAATTCCACCATGCCCTGCTGCAGCATTGTTCACATTCCCAGCGATGAGGCACTTTTAGGCCCCATTCTCACACACGAGCAAAGTTGTAAATGGGTGTATATATGAGCTTATGTGTGCACTATTTGCATTCCCAGAATGCATCATTCCTAATATAAGTTTTAGTGAACTGTATGCCCACACATGCACATAAAATATGCAGAAACACAATTCTATTTTTGCACCTTTTTACGCTATGCAAATATACAGCTCCATACACAGCTATGTGTATGGAGCCATTTATTTGCATATGTTACAGTTCACGCATATATGCACGTTTACTCTGTTTACCGCTCTCCTGCAGCATAGTCCCTCAAAAACATTGTTACAACAAATCAAGGGGAGCAAAAGTTCATTGATTGGGATGCAGAGGCCTATTAAAGTGTATACAGTACAAACCCAGACTATTGTTGGTTCTGCCACACAATAGAATGTTTGCTGTACACATTAATCTGCAGCTTTATGGTTTATTTTAACCCAGCTACATTTCTGCACCAATATTAACGCAGGGCAAAGCACCAGGCTCACTTAAATGCCTGTCCTACACAGATTACCCCCCCTCCCCTGGTCCACAAAAAGGGTGATGGACTCAGGCACCCAGCACTACATATTGGGAGTAACTCACCTGCTCTCTACAGTACCACATTTGACATAGCTTCCAACAGCTAAACAGAACAGAGAAGCACCCAACTTTAAGGGAACAAGTTTATTCACTCTTTATGACTTTTGTCTGCCCTAGGCAGTTTGTCTGCCCTAGGCACATTAGTAGTTCTGCCACTTACGGCAAACTGGGGCACGAAGCCAAGGCAGGTAAAAAAAAAGCAAAAAAAAAAAGATCCTGTGTAGCCATCAGCATTTTATTATGCCCATGTGCATGACCCTTTACACCTTCACCCTTAAACTCATGCCTGGCTCTCCATACAGCCTACCAATGTTCTAAACTAATTTCCAGTCAGATCCACACCTCCAAGTGCCATTATAAACCATGACCAAAATAATGGAGCTGATGGTACTCTTAGAATGGCACCAGGAGTCAGCAACCATGGACAGCATGGCAGCAGAAGCAATTAGACATTTTGAGAGAGAGAGAGAGATTTAACACAAGGCTACAGCCTGTTAAATTCTTTCTGGTCTTTAGTAGCTCTGACAGACTAAAACCTGACTAAACCAATGCATAATTATGAATTT